GAGCCTGGCTGCGGGGGAGCCCGCGCCGTCCCCGGTGCCCGTCCGGTCGCGGGCCGGGAGAGGAGGGCGGCCCGTCCTGTTTGTTTCCATGCTGCGCTTTCCCGGGAGGACGGATTTCGGCACTGCGCCTTGCGCAAGCCCCAGATGGCACCGGCCCCTTCCCGGCCGCCGTGCCAGCCGGGCCGAGGGAGCCTTGGCCGCCCCCGGCCTCCCCAGCCCGGGGTCGGGAGGCCCGCAGGGATTCTTCTTCAGGAACCCCGGTGGCGACTGCAGAGAAAACCGCGGGGCCGCCCGCTAGCGCGCAGGCACCCGCTACAGTGCGTCAACAGGCGTTTTAAACCAGAGCGGAGAAACGAGAGGGCCAGGGGGCTGGGGGCCCGAGGCAGCAGTGGCCGTGGCCGGGGTGCGGTGGGGGGGCGTGGGGCCCGCGTTGAAAATCTAGCGGATTGAGGCAGCCCTGCGTTTGCTTTGGCAGCTGCGAAGGCGCACAGGTGCACGGTGAGGGGGGGGGCCGGCGCGGCCACCACAGGCGGTCATTGACAGAGCCTCGCAGTGGGCGCCCAAATGCGTTTACTCGTGAATTGCGTAAGCTGCCCTCCCCGTACAGGTCAGCGCGAATTACGCGGGCTTGTTGCCTGCCGCCTCCTTGCCGGGCCCACCGCTACAGCCTCAATTCCCACCACTCCCCGCCTTGCACTTGATGCTACGGCAACGTTGAACTGTTTCTCTCCTTGCTTTTGCTGACGCTGGCCCGCCTGCCTGGCTTGCCTTCCGCCTACCTTTGCCCGGCTGATTCCACTAGCCCTTTAAGACTCGGATCTGTTACCTTACCCAGCAGCTACCCCTCCCCACCAGGTGACGCTCATCCTCTGCTCCTTGGCTTCCTGTTTACACCTCTGTGACTGCGCTTGGTTTTACACATGGTTTTGTTTATCCTTAAAGTTCCTTGAAGCTAGGGGCGATAGAAGTAGTCTCTTGCCCTCAAAGAGCTTTCCATCTCATTAGAGAAGTAAGGCTAGCCATAGAGCCATGGAGTTGCTACAGAAGAATCAAGGTTAGCAGACGTTCAGGAGCTGATTTGGGGGGTACACAAAGATGGAGGGAGCAAGGTCTGAGTTCACTGGGGTCAGCGAACTGTGACAGTCCTGGTGATGTGCTGACAGTTTTAATTCGGATTCCTGGATGATTTGTGGAGTAAAAATCTTTAGCGAAACAGGATTGCTACATTTTCACAGATTAAAGGGGTGGTGACTTCCAAAGGGTCATAGGTACCCTTTCCTAAAACGCAAGGATTTCAGTAGGCCTTCTCTCTGGTTAGGGCGATGAAGGGTGGAGAGTGGGGGAGCCTGTCTAGAACCCAGCAGAACTTGGGTATTTTTTGGTAACAGTCATGGTGGGTACATCTGTTACAAACTAAGTATCTTTTGAATTCAAATCCCGTTTAGTTTCACTTTGATTTTGCTAATCTGTGGCCTGTGGCACGCTGAGTGTCAAAAGAAGGAAGTAAAATCTTTGGCCAGATTTTGTTTTTAACTACTCAGAAGGGAAGTGATAGGATAAGTGGAAGGGAAGTGCATAGGACTGAACTTCAAAAGCCATGGGATTTGGACCTTAGATTCCACATCTGTAAAGTGAGTGGGTTGGCCGGGGTGGTCTTTAAGGTCCCTTCTGGCTCTAACATTTTACACTTTTAGGATTTTAATTCCTGGTTGACATTTGGCTAACCAGAAGACACCGGATGAGAGACCAGCTTATTAAAGAACATCTCTCTAGGGACGACTGGCGTGAGCACTGGCCTGGGAGTCCGAAGATTGTGCCTTTAGATCCTCTTCATCATGAAAGCTGGTGACTTTCGGCAATCACCTAGCTTCTCTGGGACTTACTTTCCTTATACGTGAATACTAAGAAGCGATTAGATTAGGTAATTTATTGAAGATCCTTCTGGCTCTCAATTTCTAGTTGTCGGTCTTAAGAATGGCTTGTTAATAATGGCTAGGTAAAGAGCTCTGACCTTGGAGTCAATTTACAGCTTCAAATCCAAGCTCTGCCACTCACTATCTATGACCTTTACTCAGCTCCTCTGCACCTTGGTTTCATTTTCTGCTACACAGGGATATCTGCTCTGTCCACTTCAGAAGACACTCACAGAGGTTACAATGTGTGTGAGAGAACTTGCTAAACTTTAAAAGTGCTGTATACATTTTATGAGGTATTAGTTGCCGCTTCAGATGTTGATCAGCTGAGATAAATCTTCAGGGTGTTAGGGGGGAGAAGCCTGGCTCTGAAATGCCGCAAGTAGCTGGAAGTTGACTTGGTCAGTTCTCCGGTTAGGAGTTCTGGGGCAGAGGAGCCTTAGCCCTGCTTTCGGGGGGTGGGGGGCTTGTGCATTTGTGTAGCAATCTGGGAAGTAAGAAGGGAAACAGGCCACAGCTCAGCAAGGAGGGAAGCCTTCAGTGAGGATGAAATGGTGTGGCGGATGTCACCGGGATGTCAGCGGCCGTGGCCCTCAAGGACCTGCCTTCCCCTCCTCTCTGGGGAGGTGGGGGTTGGGTTGGGAAGAGAAGGAAAATGGCAAATTGTTAACAAGTACACATGTGGAGAAAGTAGTAAAACTGTAAGGCTATCTGATGTATTGTTGGATTCTGGGAAATTCGTATTTTCTTCATTCTCTGTATTTTCCAAATTTTCTATAACGAATATGTATTTTTTAAATCAGAAAAATAAAAAGCTTTTAAAAATTGGAGATCATTTTTACAAATGTGGGTTCCGCTTTTTTTTCTGCTTTTCTCATTTGATTAAAGAAATAATAAAAGTTATTGAATTAGGCTATGTCTTTCTTCCAAATCAATGTTAGATTATTGTGCTTTTCATTTTTATGTTTTTATAGTTTGAAGGGGTTGGGATGTTGAAACCATCTATTTAAATTCTTCGGACATATTTAAAAAACAGAGTTTTATCTGGTTAAAAATTTTTTTTAGTACGACAGAGTACTGAAAACTTAGCATGCCCCTAAATCTGATTTATCACCTCTATTTCATGACAAAAAAATTTCAAAAATAGTTTCTTACCATTGACCTGTAAGTCCTACTTCCAGGAATTCATCCTAAGGCAATAATTCGACAAGTGCATAAAGATAGAGAAATGTTCATCACAGTTTTATGATAGAAAAAATGTGACCCAACTTAAACATACAAAAATAGGGGATTAGCTTACAAGTCATGCAGTTATTAATGGGAACATAGATGTATTTGACATGCAAATATATTCATTCCTCCCCCCCATTAAGTTAAAAAGCCAAAAGCAAAGCTGTCTATCTATACAAAAATTCCGTTTTCTATTCAAAGAAAGGGGGTCCACATATAATCATAAACAAATGTGTGAAAAGATATGTTAGTAGTTGTTGACTTTAGATAATGGGATTATAGACCTCCCCCCGACTTATTTTCTTATTTTTCTATGACAAGTATATATTACTTGTTAACTTTTTAAAGTTGAAAATAGGGGTGCCTGGGTGGCTCAGTCGGTTAAGTGTCTGCCTTCGGCTCAGGTCATGATCCCAGAGTCCTGGGATGGAGCCCCACATTGTGCTCTCTGCTCAGCAGGGAGTCTGCTTCTGCTTCTCCCTCTGCCTCTCTCCCTGCTTGTGCTCAATCTCTCTCTTTCAAATAAATAAATAAATAAAGTCTTTAAAAAAATAAAGTTGAAAATAGTTTTGTGAAACAACTTGGCTAAACAGAATCAGGTTGTGTGGGACAAAACATTTATTAAATAACAAAATAAATGTGTCATTTTCTATATAAAAAGTCTTTTTCCTAGGTTTATTCTCAGTTGGACATGTATTAGGAAACTTTTTTTTAATACACAAGATTGATTTTAATTGTTATTTTGTTATTAAATATAGTAATTATTAATTTATTAATTAGCATATGAACTCGCATGGGCCACTTGATTCTTTGACACCTCAGGTTCTTTTTCATTAAAATGAAACTAACATTTCATTAATAAGTTTGTTGTGGGGATTTAAGAGACTGGTAAACAATGATCCTGTAATTACATGTGTGAAAGCACTGTGGAATGCGTGGGCTACATAAATAGCAACTATTGTTAATTATTATTCACTAATCAACAATAATAGTATTTGCTGGGTACTTAAAAGACTATTAGTACTTGCTTAGTAAATAAGATTAAGAGAAGGAGCCTACAAAAGACTAGCAAATGGGAAACAAGAATCCACACACTGCTGTGGGTAAGTAAGCTGTAACGGGGAAGAGCATTTTATTTATTTATTTATTTATTTATTTATTAATTATTTTTAAAAGATTTTATTTATTTGAGAGAGAGAATGAGATAGAGAGCATGAGATGGGGGAGGGTCAGAGGGAGAAGCAGACTCCCTGCTGAGCAGGGAGCCCGATGAGGGACTTGATCCTGGGACTCCAGGATCATGACCTGAGCTGAAGGCAGTCGCTTAACCAACTGAGCCACCCAGGCGCCCTGGAAGAGCATTTTATATTGCTGTTGGTGTTCAAGGCCAGGGAAGTCACTGAGGATGATTAGGAGAATAGGAAAACTATGGATGAGAGAGAGTTTCTTCCATATGGAAATGGTTCTTGAGCTGGCCTTGAAGATGGGGAGGATGTGGCTGAACAAAGGAAAGGGTTAGCAACATGAATAAGGAGATGGTGGAGATAGGAGACAAACAGCTGGGTGGTGTGAAGAGAATGGCTTGACTGAAGTGGATGGTAGGAATTAGTGAATGTGTTGGTTAGGTAAACTCAGAGCCAGATCATGGGGAACACCAAAACCTGCACAAAGAAGTACTGAGTTGATAGAAGAAGTAGGATTCCAATCCCAAGAGCCTTTCACTCTCAGCAGATGATCCAGAAGTATCTGTTTCCACAGCTGAACTGACAAGCTCACCTGGATCTGCATTTGTCCTTTCCTCTTACATCAGTGAAGGCTTCTGTGACGGTCTGTTTACCTCTGTGCTTTGCATCGTGTGTGCGTGTGTGTGTGTGTGTGTGTGTGTGTGTGTGTGTGAGAAAATGTCCCCCTTTTGGGCCATTTTAACCATTTTTTTAAGTGTACAATTCAGTGGCATTAATTACATGATGTGCAACCATCACTAGTATCTATTTCAAGAAACTCGACCCATGAAGCAATAACTCCCCATCCCCCCTTCTCCTCAGCCCCTGGTAACCTCTGATCTACTTTCCATCATTATGTGTTTGACTACCCTAGATACCTCATGTAAGTGGAATCATACAATATTTGTCTTTTTGTGTCTGGCTTATTTCATTAGGCTTAATGTTTTCAAGGTTCATCTATGTTGTAGCCTATATCAGAACCTCATTACTTTTTATGGCTGAATATTATTCCACAGCATGGATATACCATGAAATTGTCCATTTGAAATGAAATGAAATGGCAATAGAAGAGGGTAGTTCTTCCTTTTGTTTTTAAGGCCACATATGAAAAATGTTGCCAACCTTACGTCAGTTCCTGGAATTTCTTTGAATCTTTACATATCAATCAAAGCAAAGTCTGAGACCCATGCTCTAGTACGTGTTGCATCCTTTGCAATGTTCCAGTTCCATTTGGCACCATCACAAATGGTTTGTAACATGGATTCAGTTAGGCTCAAAGGATGCTTGCTGACAGCTGTCTTTTCTTTTGTTCATGTCTCCACATAACATGAACTTTTCCATCAAGAGAGATATCTTTCCATTATTTTTGGGCACTAGAGCTTTCCAAGGAAGTTACAGGATGCTTTCCTGATGTGATGAAATGATCAGACAGAGGCGAGGATGCAGGTATACTTTACAAGCAAACGCAGTGACCTATGGGAGGCAGTTGAGAAGAAGGGTGAGAAGAAGTAGTGAGTAGTGAGACCCTGAAGCATCCTGTGCTCCACAGCACCCTTGGCCAGTAGGCTTGGACCATGGTGTTTTTATTTATAAGGCCAGGGCTCTTGTAAATAAAAGCAAGGTCAAAATAGAAAGTTTGCAGGATTCCAAGTCTGTGTCTATAAAAATAAAGTATCACTTAGGTGACATATCAGATCTTTATTCACTTAGGTCTATTTTCAATGATTTTCCTAAGGTGGGTTTTAAATCTCCTCTCTCCGTTGCTGAGAGTCCTTACAATACTTCTTTCCGCAGGTTGGGATGAATAAGGACTGTAAATGCTAGAAATGTTTCACAGAGAGTAAGAAGATACAGTGCAGTGTGTGTTTGTAATTACTTGCTGGAAAGGCTGCCCAGCTGTACAGCGGATTTACCACAACCATGGTCCTGGAGCCACTGGGATCGTGGGAGAGCACCCTGCTGAGTCGGAGCAATATCATATTGCAGGTGTGGCTTATGTTTAGAGAAGCAGTAGAAATAGGGGAAGAAATGATAGAGGAAGAATGTTTTCATAGGAAAATCTCAGGACATGCACAAGAAGTTCCCACAGAGTTAATCTAGTCCAAGCCCAAGACACTAAGCTCTGAGAAGTGAGACATCTTGATCAAGGTAATAGGGATGACTTCTTATTTCTAGTCCAGAGCCTTTACTTCTACACCAGAGGAAGAAGTTAGTGGGAGTGATTTCGTGAAAGAGTAATGAGGTTGGTTTTGATCTGTTGTTTAATAAAAACAAAAACACATGGCCTGTTAGAAGGGCTAAGTTTACCTGGATTTCAACTGTTAGGGTAAGAAAGCCATATTTTGTTATTTGTTAGTATTGATGATATGTTTCTTCTGCTATTAAAAAATACCAGGGAATTTATTTTCTTTATTAATCTGGTACCACTGGGGATAATGGGAGGGGATGATTTAGATTTTTTTAAGTATTCATATTTATCCTGATTATATTGTGTTGGACAGAGATGTTGTCAACACTCAACTCTGGAGGATCTCAAGCCCCTTCCTCATCTGCTCACATGATAGGACATTTGTAATTCAATCTAGTGCCTTCATTCCCTCGTGGCATTTCAATGAACTCTTTTCTATAATGGTACCATTCTAGGCCCATTCAGACTCTAGAGGAACCCAATAAGAAATTGTTCGTTTTTACTCTAAATTATCTAAAGAGATCTAGGCTCTATAGATCGAGGAAATAGTACGACAAAGAGAAACTGATCTAATTTCTAATTGTTCCTTCATAAGGATCTCTTTTGCATCATGTGTATGGCTATCTGTTTTATCAAGGTAAGAGCCTGGGAAAAGGGAAGGGAGAAAGGAAAGAAAGCCCACATTTATTAAGTGCTAACTATATGCCTGGCACTTTATATATGCTGGCTTATTGGATCTTTACAATAATCCTACGATATAGTTGATTTCATTTTATAAGTGAGGACATTAGGATCAGAGAATCACACGTTTGATTCTAAGAGTCCAGATTTCATTATGCACAAAGTGGTCTTACCGTGCTAGGGATGTTCATGAACAAACACACCTACATCTGCTTTTCCCAGTTACTAGGGAATCCTGTTGAGGTATGACTGTATAGCTAGGATGTTTCAATGTTCTTTTCCCACACTTTAAGGATATGATGAAGAAGTGGGTCTGAGAGGGGCTTTCTCTGCTCTCTAAAGTAGCGCCTCTCCAACATTCTTTGCCCTACGTTTGACTTCCTTTTCTCCCATTTTGCCCCATCTGACATATGCTTATTTAGGATCTATTTCTTTTACTAGGAGGTACGCTTCTTGAGATGAGATGTGTTGTAAGCTCCATGAGATCAGGAAATACTTTCTCTTCAGCTTCTGAGAGAAGGTCTGGCACCTCGTAGACCTAAATCATTAAATATTTGATGGATTTGTTAATTCCTGAAGCTTCCTGAGAGTTGTCAGTTCAGTTGTCAGCATGGGTCTTGAGTAAAGCACAAAAGTGAAAAGGAGATTATTCACATACAGTGAGTTGTAAAAGAATGAATGGGCTGTGGAAAACAGACAAGAGAACAAAAGGGGTACAGCCCCCCCTCCGAAGTCCTCTTCCATCTGTGCACAGGAGAACCATTCCTGTGTTTTACACGTGAAGATACTGGATGTGCTGTCTCCACCACCCGGTAGTTAACACTAAAAAGAGGCTTAAAATTTAGAATCAAAGATGCAGCTGCTTTCACATGAAGCAGCAGTCAAAGAGCCTAAAGGGACAGTTTTCCTGTTCAACCACTGTTCCGTTGTCTGTAACCGATTTATGACATTTGGGGAAAACACAGCCAAAAACAAGCTAGTACTGAGGTAGGTGTGCTTCTCATGCCTTTTCTTTTCTTTTTTTTTTAAAGATTTTATTTATTTATTTGAGAGAGAGAGAATGAGAGACAGAGA